TTTTTCTCCACTGTGATAATCCTATTGGTGTTGCGTTCATCTACTTGTAATCATCCTGTTTGGACTGAAACAGCTTCAGATGATCGGATGTGTTCATCTCCTATGCTGTCGTACTTTTCCTTGAAGTGCTTTGCCGTCCCATATGGGGTGTTGTAAAAAAGCAAAACTTCCTGTGAATAGAAAAATGAAAGATTTCAGCAGTTCCATGTGAAAGCCTCACCACAGCTTTGGGAACTGTGCCTGTGCGTTTTACTGTGGTGAATAGATAACTGAAGAACTGTAGCTTCTTTGAACTATTTTTTCAGATATAACTCAAAATCTAGCAGGAGATTGAAAATGCAGGAGGCAGTCTTCTCAGTCCCTTGTTTTCTTGCTTTATTCACTGAAGACTCTTTGAAGGCAGAAGCATCTCCAATAAAAGGACTTAAATTTTGTCTCTATGTAGGTTGTGAAGTGTTAAGTTTATGATTAATTATACGTCTGGATAATTATGGCTTCAGTAAGGTACCTGCATGTAAATAACACTTTGCAGTAACTATTGCAAGAACTGTGATTTTTTCCTTTGCAAATTTAACTTTTTGGTAAAATAGATTGTGGCATTTATAATTTGATTAGTGTAGTACAGGTTCAGATAACTCTTGCAAATTGTCAAAGGGAATTAGTTTTGTGGCTTTAGAGAAGAATCTCATGTTCAAATTCAAGGTGTTTGTTTAGCTTACTCTGAATGTTAGTTCTATATATTTGTCAGTACTGAATGTTAAGTTAGGTTTATACTTTTCAATAGAAATCAAAATGCATTAAAACCACTTCTTGCTAGCAGAGAGCTGAAGCTACATTTTGTACAGATGAGGTTATTCCTCGCTACTTGTTGATAAAATGGAGGTCTGGGTTTGTATTCAGTGAGTATTCAGCTGTAGTAACTGATTTGGAAGAGACTACTGTCAGCTAGGTTTTTCCTTTTTCAGTCCTCTTCTGAAATTTTTATCCTTGGTAGTTGTGGGTGAGATGTTAACTGGAGCAGCTTCTGGGCTTTTTGTAACCTCTGCTTTCTGCTAGCTGTTTTTTCTGCCTTATTAGGTTTGTTAGATTTCTGTAAGATTATAAAAGATTTCCAGAGCTGTATCAGGTATTAGAAGGAAATTTCGATCCTTTCTCCTGCCAAATCTCTCCACCACCTTTGAATTTAGCAGATCTTATTGCTGGGACATCAGTGTCCTAATAAAGGTAAATGTCACTCTCAACCAACTAATGAAGTCATGTTAATCTCAGTAAGTACTTGAAGTGAAGAATACAGCTGCAAGTGTTGTGCTGTGTTTTGCATTTTAATATTGTTAAATTGTTCTTATATTGGTTTTGTGGTTTTTGCATCTTACACTAACAAAAGAAGTTCTTACATTTTATTCTAGTCCTTGTTTTTTTGTCTTCCTTCCTTCCCCTCAAATCAAAAGCAGCTATGGAGGCAAAAGCAAGTTTTATATTACATTATAACTCCTTACTTTAAAGAAACAGCAAAACAAAACAAAAACACCTTATGTCCTTATGTTCCTGACTGCAACCTTTCCAGGAGAAGGTGGTGGTTAGAGATAATTAAGGGTCTTTCCCTGGATAGATGTAGAAGTATCAGTTGTTACAGATCTGTTAGGAAATATTTTTTCTATTACAGATAAGGACTAAATGGTAGAAAAACGCATCAGAACTCTTAGCAGGATTACTGCAAATTTTATTTTTTCATTGTACACCTTTGCGTTCTTATGTTTCTCAAACACTTCTCCACAGAGAAGGGCATGATTTAGGAGATATTTTATTATTGCAAGCAGGACCCTAATAACTTGAATAAGAGGTGAACAAAAGCAAATTTAGTCTTAAAAATAAAATGTGGTGGTAATGACCAAAGGGGTAGTTGAACAAGTTTTGTGAAGTACCTCTTATTTGTCTTCATGTAAACCTTTTATTGTGAATGGCTGTGAGCTTGATACGAGTCGTGGATGAAGTGTTCTCTGCTACTTGTATAGATGGGAAAGTAGTTAACTGTTGTTAATGAACCTGAATTTGGGGGTAGCAACTATAACTTGTATACTTGGAAAAGCAGTATAATGGAAGCTTTTGGAGCTGATCTCCAGCTGGTCAGAAAGATTTCATTTTTTTTAACTGGTGTGTTGTGATCATCAACAACTAATTTACAGCCTGCATAGTTTTAGCTTACTCCTCAGATGCTTTTTGAGAATCTTTTTCTCTCTTTCTGTAGTGTGCACATGACTGTGCTTCTATCTTTGAGCAATATCCACGTATGTGACGTAGTCATTGCGTATAAACTGGAGAAATTGTGCCTGCTTTGGCCTTTTTCCAGTGTTGTATGAGAAGAAATATCATTGATATGTTGCTTTTTTTTCCACTGGGCAAAGCGAAATCCCTGCCCACAAACCAGCCTTATTTCATATTTATTGTTTGATGAGAAATGCTTGTACTTTTAGACACTTCAAGTCCGTGTCCCTTTAATATCACTGGGGGTACCTGTGAGGTGTTGCCCATCTCTGCCTTTGCAGTTTTCTTCCTACTTGCTGTTCTCTGCTGGAGAACAGGCTAGATGTGTGTCAGTGGTCAGAAGCATAACATTTTTGTAGTGGTCCTTTTACTGCTGTGGGCTGCTTTTCCCTTGTGTCAGGCCTCGAGGTGAGTGCACTGTAACTGCATTTCTTACTGGCTTCCCAGTCCCCTGTGATACTTGCTTTAGTACCTGGTGAGGGAGAGCCACTTTCATTTCCACTTCCTTTCCTGATAATGAGAATTAAGACAGGAAAAATCAGAGGCAAAGCATTTGTGATTTTGAAATCTTTGCCTTTCCCTGAGGAGTCTTGGAGAAGTACTTCTCTTGGATCTACTGGGAGAGAATTTCAGGTGCTCGGTTATTTCAAGTGTCAACACTCTTGAAATGAATAGTATGTGTTAAGATTTGATTGTTTGTGCTGGAGTGAGAGGAATTCTCCTTCACAGCATTAGGACTTTGAGGGGTGAGTGTTGGTTAAGTAGTGTGGGTTCGGCCACTTTGAACAGTGTGAGTCTCGATGCTGTCAGTAGTGTGGGCTAAGGTCAGTGTGTCTCACTGTGGGTTGCATTGCCTGCACTAAAATGCTTGCATGCCCCTGCAGGTAGCGTCTCCCGTGGGGTGAATCTTTGAACACCGGAGGTTTTGAAATCCCCAAAGGGGGAGATAAACTTCAAAGGGCCCTGCAGAATTGTAATGCAGGGCTTTGATGGCCAGCCCTTTGGTCCTTCAGCAGTTTGCTTGTCGATAGTCTCATGGTGAAATTTATGTCACCTTCCCTTCAGCTGGACAATATCCTAATTCACAGAATCACAGAATTTCTAGGTTGGAAGAGACTTCAAGATCATCGAGTCCAACCTCTGACCTAATGCTAACAGTCCCCACTAAACCATATCCCTAAGCTCCACATCTAAACGTCTTTTGAAGACTTCCAGGGATGGTGACTCCACCACCTCCCTGGGCAGCCTGTTCCAATGTCTCACAACCCTTTCGGTAAAGAAGTTCTTCCTAACATCCAGCCTAAAACTCCCCTGGCGCAACTTTAGCCCATTCCCCCTCGTCCTGTCACCAGGCACGTGGGAGAACAGACCAACCCCCACCTCGCTACAGCCTCCTTTAAGGTATCTGTAAAGAGCAAATTTATGATGGTCCATCTTCTGTCTTCCCTTCTCGTTGCTTCTGTGCCAGTGGTAGATAAAGGGTAACCCAACTTTTTTTTTTTTTTTTTTTTCCCTGAAGTGCTTTGTGAGCTCCCTGTGAACAAAGAGTACTACATTTGAGAATACCTGTATTTAAGCTTTATCTAAGGAGTAGATGCTTTCCAGATTATGTAGGCTAAGGCTTTCAGTTTCATGCAACAGTCCGAACTGCTAGGTCCAGAATAAGGTATTCCATGAAAAAAGTGTTACAGCCTGCTGGATTACTGCAGTTGTCGCCTTCGGTTGTCTGGGCTCAGTCCTTCGATGCAAAGATTTGGTCTGCAGTTGAGTCAGGAACCATGAAAACTATGTTGCCTGTGTAATTTAGACAGGTGGCTTTGAGACAGGCTGTCTGGGGAACTCAGATTCAAAAAACTGACAAATTTAGGAGAGGAATCTTTAGGTAGTATGTGAGAATACATATCTCTTCCGGAGTTAATTCTAGTGATAGATACATGGGTTTAGTCTATATACGAATAACCTCTGCTGGAAAGCTGTATGCTGGTTGTCTTCATTGGTAATAAACCAGTTCTGCAGAATGCTGTACCCAAATCTGGTGCAACTTTAGTGACTTTCAGAGCATCTTCCAGAGGTCATTTAGCTTGATGCCTCCAACTAGAAAGTGAAAAGTTTCCTTGTGTAGTTATTTTGAAGATCCATAAGCAAAACTGAGAATAGAATGTTTAATCTGACATTAGTCAGCCTTCATGAAGGCAAAGTAGTTTAAGATTTTTAAATGGGACGGCTAACCTTAAAATGATAGTTAACACAACTTTTTCCTAGGAAAAGCAAGGAGTTGGTGAGGCCTGGTATTAAAACTGTCCCAACACTTAATTCCAGATATGCTGATAGTTTTTGCTAAGAAGGTTAGAAAATTGTTTTTGTTTGTAGCCATTTTCCTCTCTGTGCTTCATTCCCCATTCGGTGAAAATAAGATAGCTGAGTGTGAAGGCACTGGCAGAGGATGCAGGAGAACTTTTCTTGTAATGCAACTTTTTTCCCCCTTTTCTGCCCACTTACTTTAATAGCATACGTATACTTGATATGGTTTCTTGGTAGATTAGTAACAACGTTTGTTATTTGAAAATCACGCTTATTTGACAGAAATACACTAGAATTTTGATATTCCAACCTGAGACAAAACTGGTAGAATTCATCTGTGGGTAGGAATTTCTTGTTTTGCTTTTCTTGGCTGGTGTTATAGAACACAAGCAGAAAACAATGACAGCTGTACAGTAAATTTTTGTTTTACTTTGCAGGTTTGTTTTAATGCGGAAGTGGATCTCACAGCTTAGTACAAATAAAACAAACAAAGGTGAGTAGATTTTTTTTTTTCCCCTGGATTCCTTGGGTCCATTAGACATACAGCTAAACACTGAGGACAAAAAGTCATTGAAAAAATGAATTGTATTGCAACTTGTATCTAGATTACTGTGATTTATGTGTACAGTGTTATGATACAAAAACAGGAACATCCCCTTCCCCAGTACTTAAAATTATCATGACATTTATGTTTTTTCCTGCAAACTATGATAGTCAAAAAGCTATCATGGCATTCTGTTAGTTATCGAGAGGCAGAATTATGAGTACTTAAGATTAATTTTGTTTCCTGCATACTACCTACCTGGTTTCTAAGAACTGAAAATGTATGTTGCATTGTCAAAACAGTGTGTTAAACTTGCACTTTCACTATTAATAAATAACTGTGATAAATCTGACCAGCTACCAAACAGCAAATTATTAAAAAAAAAAAAAAAAAAAAAAAAAAATCCCTATCCTGCCCTTAGCTCTTTTGGGAACTATTTGTAAGACAAAGCATATGAAGGCTTACTGTGGAATCTGGGTGTCCATTTGCAGTTGCAAGTTGTCAGCAGTCAGGGAAACAAAAAAAATCTGTTACTTCAACACTTCTTGTCCACACCCCACTATTACAATAATTATTTTGATATGGAACTTAGCTAAACACAGATTTTGCTTCTCTTCATGTTGCTTAGTGTTCTACTTTGGGAATACTTTGGACTATAAAACTAATCTTTCTCCATTAAATTACATTAAACACTTTTAAGAGCAATTTGGTTTCAGCTGTTTTAGCCTGATTCTTTCATGAGTGTCTTTAGGTAAGAATGCAAAGTAAATTCTCATTAATGTAGACATGGGTCTTGATGGAACTGGGTATGCAGGCTTCCTTAGCAAATAAGAGCTGGATTCTCAAGTTTTCTGCTCGCTCTTGACTGGTATGTTATCTTAGAATTTAGCTGCTCATGGTGACTTTGTATTTTGAAGAAGTGAGAGGGAAGTCCCATTTGCTCAAGTGAGTTTGTATTTCATTTCTAATATTAGACTTAATACAGCTTTAAAAAAATGTAGTATGTGCATTTTAAAATTGGCGTGACCTGCTTTGCTGGTATTTTCTGCTCTGCTAGGACTTTTAGAGCTACTACTGTCAACTGTAAAATGTTGATTTTTAACAGAATACTTTGTGAGGAATCGAAAACAATTCTTTTATTTTTTTTTCTTTGTATAATGTGTAACTGATTCAGGACTTAAATTATGAATTGTCTTCTGAACTACAAAGAATTAAAAGCAAGCTATACTGCTGTAGTATGCATATACTTACGTGTAGAGGAATGTTTTATGCCTTTGACTGACATTGCAGGTTTATAGAATGTGCTGCTTTGAGAAAAGGAATAAATGTAACTCCGCAAAAGGAAGTAAATTTCTTTATCTGGGGTTGGGCTTAAAACAAAAGAATCCTAGCTAGGCAGATGATGCGATTTCACAGTAAGGTTTAAATTGGTCATTGTGCGTTCTGATGCTTTCAGTACTTAGCTTACATTGTCCCTTTAATTTATGTGGTATCTTGTTGTTGGTTTAAATACAGAAAGTTAGTTGAGAAGTCTGCAACATGAAAGTAACTGATTGTGTTCTTTGAGTGTGAAATCAGTCTTCTGAATGAAATTCCAAAGACCTTTCATCTTAATTGTGGTTAGCTATGTACAATAGAATTAAGCTGTTCTCTGAGGAGAAAGCCTGTATGTATTCTTGCATATACAGCAAGAGGACAGAAAAATGTGAAAGAATATATGCAAACAGTATAATGACATGTGATCAATACTGTTATTGATTGGAGGAGATCTTGTGGTTCTGATGGAACTATGAAAATGACAATTGAATAGTCAATAAATCAATAAAAATGCTACATATTATAAGGGAACAAACCAAAAAACAAATATCCATTTATATGAATTTGCAGTGCTGTGCTATGTATGGTATGAACAAACTGTATCGAAGCTTGGTGCTAGTTTAGTCCTGTGACTGAAAAGCAACATAGAGCTGAAGAAGATTCAGAGAATGGCAGCAAGGACAACTCTGAAAGATTTTAACAAACAGCCTGTACTTATCAACTGTGTATCTTCTGTCTCCACTCAGTAGTGTAGACATTGCAGTGTCTTGTAGACTTCTAAACAATGAACTTAACTCACACAATTCAGTGCAGGCTTGGCCTTTCACGTAAGCTTATGTCACTTAAAGCACCAGTTGAAAATGTGGTTTAATGATTCACTCAAACATCTTGTATACTTTACAAGAAGGTATTTCGTAATGACTGAAAGTTTTCTTTACGTGAGTAATGAATTTAGAGTTTTTTGCTTTAATTGCGATCACTTGTTTTCCTAATTGCAAATGTAGATACTAAGATGGCTTGACTTCTGGAAATCAAAAAACCTGTTGTCAGTTAAAAATACACAAGTGTACAATACTATTTTCAAACAGTGCATGTCTCTTATTGGGGTCACTGTAGTCTCTGTTCTTAGGTTTTCCAAGTTCCAGATTGTGTATTTTGAGCTCCACTGGATAGACCTATCTTCTTTTAAATATGGGTGAAAGTTAAGAAAAATAATCTGTCTCAGTGTGTTAACAGTATAATGGGTTACTTCTATGTAACAGGAAAGTTTACAGAGGATAGATAATTGTGCTGAATTTTTCTATAATTGGTTGAGGAGTTAGGATAAGTTTTAACCAATTGAGACCCCAGGCAAAACCACACTTGTTTCCAGAAGCTGTCTTGAATGTATTTAATATTGCTTTACCTAAAAGCAGAAAATGTAATAAATGAATAATACTACCACAGGTGTTGAAGGATAGGTTATATTTAGAGGCACAGGATAAGTTAGGGCACGCCTGATTTATTTTGCTTTGGTTCAGGCAGGAATCTTACACAATTTATGTTACTGTTCAGATTGTCTCGGTTACTATGAAGACTTGTTTTCTGCCATAAATTACTTACAGTAATAACTTAAAAAATAAAACAAAAACAAAACAATTATTAGGGGACTGACTTACATTTCTTATTAGTTGGAAGTATAAGTTCAATATTATACAGCTGCAGGTCTCCTAAAAACTCAATTTCATACATTTGCAAGTAAGGATGATAACAGTCTCCAAGTGGACGGAATATTTTCATTTTAATCTAAAAAAGCACAAGAGAGTTTTTGGGCTTTCTTTGCACTGTTGCTTACCATCTCGCTAGCTTCTTAACCTTTGATCACTGAAAGAATACAGAGGTTGATTAGAAGCAGTTTGCCTAGTTATGAGTCACTAAATGTCATTCATTACACTGGAGTTCTAAAGCAAATGAGTAAAAGCAGAGTGTTTATTTGAGGAAGAAGTATTTTTGTAATTGGGAAAGATAGTATGCTTTAAAGGGTAAGTCCCTATGTCAGCAGAAGATAAAATTCTAGAACTTGTGATGCTACTAAGATGTGTGCAGTAAAATGGATATAAGAGAAAAAACACTTGAGAAATTGCTAATAGGTCTCAGAACATATCACAGAAACACAGAATCACAGAATTTCTAGGTTGGAAGAGACCTCAAGATCATTGAGTCCAACCTCTGACCTAACGCTAACAGTCCCCACTAAACCATATCCCTAAGCTCTACATCTAAACGTCTTTTGAAGACTTCCAGGGATGGTGACTCCACCACCTCCCTGGGCAGCCTGTTCCAATGCCTCACAACCCTTTTGGTAAAGAAGTTCTTCCTAACATCTAACCTAAAACTCCCCTGGCGCAACTTTAGCCCATTCCCCCTCGTCCTGTTACCAGGCATGTGGGAGAACAGGCCAACACCCACCTCTCTACAGCCTCCTTTAAGGTACCTGTAGAGAGCAATAAGGTCACCCCTGAGCCTCCTTTTCTCCAGGCTGAACAAGCCCAGCTCCCTCAGCCGCTCCTCGTAGGACTTGTTCTCCAGACCCCCCACCAGCTTTGTCACCCTTCTCTGGACAATCTCTAGCACCTCGATGTCCTTCTTGTAGTGAGGGGCCCAAAACTGAACACAGTACTCGAGGTGCGGCCTCACCAGAGCTGAGTACAGGGGGATGATCACCTCCCTAGCCCTGCTGGTCACAGTGTTTCTGATACAAGGCAGGATGCTGTTGGCCTTCTTGGACACCTGAGCACAGTGCTGGCTCATATTCAGCCGACTGTCCACCATCACTCCCAGGTCCTTCTTTGCCTGGCAGCTCTCCAACCACTCATCTCCCAGCCTGTAGCTCTGCTTGGGGTTATTGCGCCCCAGGTGCAGGACCCGGCACTTGGCCTTGTTGAACTTCATACAGTTGACCTCAGCCCATCAGTGCAGCCTATCCAGATCCTCCCGCAGAGCCTTCCTACCCTCAAGCAGATCGACGCACGCACCTAGCTTGGTGTCATCTGCGAACTTACTGAGGGTGCACTCAATGCCCTCGTCCAGATCATTGATGAAGATATTAAAGAGGACCGGCCCCAGAACCGAGCCCTGGGGAACGCCACTAGTGACTGGCCTCCAACTGGACTTGACTCCATTTACCATGACTCTTTGGGCCTGGCTATCCAGCCAGTTTCTAACCCAACGAAGCGTGCGCCTGTCCAAGCCAAGAGCAGCCAGTTTCTTGAGGAGAATGCTGTGGGAGACGGTGTCAAAAGCCTTGCTGAAGTCAAGGTAGACCACATCCACAGCCTTTCCCTCATCCACTAAGCATGTCAATTTGTCATAGAAGGAGATCAGGTTTGTCAAGCAGGATCTGCCTTCCATAAACCCATGCTGGCTGGGCCTGATCACCTGCTTGCCCTGCAAGTGCTGCGTGATGACTCTCAAGAGGATCTGCTCCATGAGCTTCCCTGGTACTGAGGTCAAACTGACAGGCCTGTAGTTGGTGTCCGTAGCAGGACACCAACCAGTTCTTCGCGGATAGTGAGGGCCACATCCTGTTCCCCATCCCCTTCCACCAGCTCAGGGTACTGGGTATCCAGAGAACAACCGGTATTGCCGCTGAAGACTGAGGCGAAGAAGGCATTAAGCACCTCTGCCTTTTCCTCATCTCTTATAACTAAGTTTCCCCCCGCATCCAGTAAAGGATGGAGATTCTCCTTAGTCCTCCTTTTTGTGTTGATGTATTTATAAAAATATTTTTTGTTATCTTTAACGGCAGTAGCCAGATTGAGCTCCAGATGAGCTTTGGCCTTCCTAATTTTGTCCCTGCAAAACATGCTGGAGAAAAATGATTACCACTTTTTTTTTTTTTCAGTGTAATGGGAAATAAAGTTAGAATTTTCCCCAAAGTTGAATGGTGTGTAATATTTTAAGATATATGTCAATAAAATTGAGCTTAACTGTTTTAATGTCTTTTAAGAGCGTTGTACTGTAAGTCTGTTATGTGGCATCACGTTGTTGTTGTGCAGTGTTCTCATCAATGATCTTTGGGTGTAACACCTCAGGAATAACTTGTGCAGATAACTAACAATACAAACTTAATGAATTTGAGAAATATTCCTCAGAATAGTTAAATTAAAATGGTCTGTCTGTGTTCTCTTTCTATTAACAAAGGGTAAAGCTTGTGCAAATAAAATGCTGGATGTTTCTATGCTAAAAGTCGGGGCAGGTGGAGCTGCTTCAGTTACTGAATTTGACTTTCTCTGAAATTTGAGAGTACCCTGAAAACAAGAGTTCTGTATAGTTGTAATCACTGGGGGTTTGCACAGAGTTATGGAAAACAGCTAATTATTAGAGTCATTTGGCTTATGTGTATTGGATTTGTAGTGGAAGAAAGCTCTTTTCCCCATTGCTCACAAAAGGTGTCTGACCAAAAGTGCCTAATTGTAGGAAAAAACTTTGTTTTAAATTAAATGTTGGTTTTTGATTTCACTATGAAAAATATGCAGTTCTTTGACTGATTAGTTTTAAAGGTTTTTTTCTTAGTACACCATCAGTCACTTACTTGGCACTGGGGAAAACATTTTTAGTTCTGTGAGCTCTGCATTTGGGGAATCATT